GCATGAACATTTTTTTGTATCGAAAAAAATATCGAACCGTGACACCAAAGTATCGAACCGAACCGAACCGTGAATTTTGTGTATCGTTGCACCCCTAATTATTAAGTAAAGTATTTTTATCTGGCTTTTGCAACAGTTACTCCAATTATTGTAAAGCATTACCCTGAAATGTTGTAGTTTAAAAGAAAACATACTTTGTTTTTAAAACAAAGTAACTAGAAGAGCTTCCTAAAATAATGGAACTGCAGCTTTGTCCTCAAATGTTTTTACTTTACCTTCTTTCTTAAATACTGACATTTCACACAATTTTACATGAAATGTTGAAATGCTGTATTGGAACATTAAATAAAAATTCAGCTTTTGTTTTTCTAAAATGCCTTTACACAAATTTGAGTAGTTATAAGAAGTAAAATTTGAAATATTTTATCAATATGCTAGATTTTCTTTTCCTCTCCAGCATTTGACACTTTACATCCCCATCCTATATTAGATATATCACTTTCCTCTTTATCAAATGCTTCTGACTTATTTTCCTCTAAAATATTTAAAAATAAAAGAAACGTGCCATATTGCTTCTTGATGCATGCTCAGTCATCCAGGTAAGTAAATAAAGTAAATGGGAACAAACCTATAAATACTGAAATGGCTCCACACGAAGGGCTGCTGACAGAGTCGACCACTTCCTGCACAGACAGCCAATCACGGCTCAGCTTGAAGACATCGCTCAGCTCCTTCGACATCTTTGAAAAGAAATGGTGGTTTAGATCAAACTTGTTGACTCTTTATCATTAATTTATTGGATTTAAAGTCACAACAGGAAAATATGCTTTTATTTTTAAATTGTGCAGTGAAGCAGGAGCAAATACCTGACATGGACCTTTTTCTTGATCTCTGATCAGTAATTACTTACAGTCTCAAGTCTCTTAGCCCCCGCTGAGCGGCGGCACTACGGCGACTTCGTCTCCGTCTCCCAGAGTCAGCACCTGGTCGCCGATGGGAACGTACTCCTGACGCACTGCCAACACGACGCCGTCCTGCAGCTCGCACAGTCTGGACACACAAACACTTGTTAGACCCTGACTCGTCTTCACACGTATGTTCATGTGTGCTTTTTTTTCTTTTTTTACCTTGGGTGCCGCTGTAGCAACAGCTTCCAAAGGTTGTGGCTGCTGATTGGTGTTGGCACGGCAACAGTCTTCTCTTCCTTCACACCTGCCAGCTCAACGCTTTTCGCGAAGTACAACACGCACACCTGAAGGAGAAAAACTATGAATCCATCAGAATATTTACCGTTAAACAGTGAGTTCTGAGTCATTCTCAGGGTTTCAAACTTCCTGTTTCCTGTGTGGAGTTCGTGTTATATTTATTTATCTGAAGCTCACAGAGTTTGTGTCAAAAATGTGCTTCATAAATAAAACAGGAGCTTCATTAAAAGATGTTTTTCCATCACATGAAGCTGTAAATGGAATTTGCCAGCTCAAAATGAAGACTTTCTTAAAGATACTGTGGTGTAACACTGAGGCTACACGTCCCAGGAAACCATGAACAGGAACACTTAACAAACGTTTGGGAAATCTGTTCATTAATCTATTTATTGGAGACTAAACATCAAAAAGCTTCAGGATCAAAGCATTTCTAATATTTTTACGATCATCAGCGTGTACATTTCTGCTAACACGGGAAAACTCAAACTGCTTCCTGTTTGTGTTTGGAGACATGATGAAGACTTCCTCCTCCTACTCATCATCATGACAGCTGATAATGAATGATGATGATGGAAGATATTGATATCAAAGTCAGCTTTGAACCACACAATTCTGACTTTTGGCATTTTTTTTGTGTTTTTTTAACATTTTAGTAAATATTTATTTATTTGTTTGTTTTTTAACCAAAAACTGTCATTCTGAATTAATTACATACTTTATCCCCCAAATACTAAATAAATATTTTTTGAGACTTTTCTGATTTTGT